GAATATATTTACAGAGATATTTATTGCAATAGTATTGGTAGTTGCAAAAATCACTAGAAACACCCTGGATGTCCACCCATAGGGGAGTGATTGGATAATCCGTGGCATGTTTGTGCTGTAAAATGTGGGACTGTTCCTGGGATTGAGATGGATCAATGTTACTTGTCAAAATGATCATGATATATCATTAAATGAAAAAGTAGGTCACAAACTAATTACATCATATGCTTTTTGCTTTTCATTAAAATTTTGTAGATGGAGGAGGGGAATCCTATGTATTTTCACAAATGTGTACCTATTTATGTCTCCATAGGGAAACTAATAGGGGGAAAAACTCACAAAATTGTTAATATTGCCTAAGATTTTACAAATTAACAGAAAAAAGAGCGCCATGCCCCAGTGCGGGACTGTGGCTGGGATGTGAATCCTTAAACCCTTCAGAGGCATGTGCAGAAGACAGAGCAATGCAATGAAAAAGTCAGGTAGGATCAGCAACGCTCCTCATTACTGTTTGAACTTGAACAAGTCATTCACCTCCCTGGGCCTCATTTTCCTTGTCTGTAAAATGGGGACAAGAGCAATCTCTACCTGTGAGGGTTCGTGTGCAGGCCATGTCAGGAAATATAGTAAATAGGCATTAAATTTTCTTTCACACTGTTAATCCAATTTACTGTTTTAAATAATGTCTAGTATGAGGGAAAAAAAACCCTATTTGACCCCCTCGACAAGCATGCGAGTTCTGCTTGAGAGGCTGCCCGGGTTACGCTCTAAGCTGCTCACAGCTAATTCCCTTCCTTCATCTACAATTACACTGGCGCTGGGCGCTTGGTGGCGGGGAGTGGCAGGGGTCAGGGGTTACACAGTGACCTTTGGGAAGTTGGGGGCCGGGCCTCTCAGAAGCTCCAAGGATTGTTTTTCACCGTCGGCAAACACACTTGGGAGTTCCTTGGGGAGCTTCTACAAGGAAAGTGCTATTTTGGGTAAGAAGGTAAAATGTAGAACCCCCCATGCAGCCTTGGCCCTGGAACCTGGGAGGGCCTGGCCCTTGGGCTGGTTCTCCGATTCCTGCTGCCATTCCCACCCTGGCCTCGGGGTGGCGCTGCTCCCTCTTCAACGACGGCCATTTATCGCTGCCACGCCACTAGGCAGTCATCAACCCCCTGCCCTAAGAGCTGAAGGATGACAGAAAGCAGACTCGGAAGGCCGATGAGTTAAAACTCTAGTTCGCGAGATCTGACTTGAGGCAGCTCACAGCCCTCTTCCCTGTCCTCCAAGGGACCCCAGGGCCAGGACTCCCTAGTTCCCCACCTCCCAATTTTAGGCCCAATGACATTTGTGGGGCCCCAGGCAAGAGAATAAATGGCGCCTCACATACTCTTATGTCTAAATATTTTAAAGTTGTTAAATCAATCTAATAAACTAGGCCGGGCGCAGTGGCTCACGCCTGTAATCCTGGCACTCTGGGAGGCCGAGGCGGGCGGATTGCTCCAGTTCAGGAGTTCGAAACCAGCCTGAGCAAGAGCAAGACCCCGTCTCTACCATAAATAAAGAAAGAAATTAATTGGCCAACTGATATATATACAAAAAATTAGCCGGGCATGGTGGCGCATGCCTGTAGTCCCAGCTGCTCGGGAGGCTGAGGCAGGAGGATTGCTTGAGCCCAGGAGTTTGAGGTTGCTCTGAGCTAGGCTGACGCCATGGCACTCACTCTAGCCTGGGCAACAAAGCAAGACTTTGTCTCAAAAAAAAAAATCTAATAAACTATTAAATGAAGTATGTTCCATCTTTCCTCCTTGACATGTACACCTTCATAACCCCTAAGAGACCAGAAAGACATTTAGGGTTTTCAGACTCCTTGGAGGTCCATGCCCCTGGCTCTCCGCTTCCAGCCCTTGGCCCACCCAGCTCCTCTCAGCCAGGCACACCCGCCCTCTCCCACCATGAGGGGCCACACATGTGGGCGAGGATACTCCCGCTCACACAGCCGAGCTCCAGCCACGGCCCCACAACCCTGAAAACAGCCACCCGTTGGCCACTCCTAGGACACAGGGTATGAGCACTGGTAGTGACGGCCATGCTTGGGAGGAGACACCGGAGAAGATGCCCCTGCAGGCCTGCAAGAGGGCTTGCTGCCATCTGGACAGGAGTGCTGGGGTCCTGGTGCGTGGAGCCGGGTCCAGGTGGGCGTGCGGACTCCTCCCACGGGGGAAGGATGTGGCGTGAGGACGTACAGCATGGGGGAGCTGCTCTTGCTTTGGGCCCAGGGAATGGGGGTGGGGAGAGATGGCATCCTTCACCCTCCCCCTGCCGTCCCTCGGGAGTGCCCCCAGACACCAGGACAAGAAGCCTGGATGGTGAGAGGCCAAGTCCCCTGTCAGTTCCTCTTTCCTGCTGTGGAGTCCCCTCAGGTCCAACATTGGCACCAGGAAGGGGCTCACCCCTCAGGCAAAACCAGAGTATCTGGCCCTGAAGCCCCCCGAGATATCTCAATAAACACAGCAACCCAGCGCCAGGCAGCCCTTCAGCGCCGAGCGGCCGGGGAGGAGTGCCCTTTCAAGAGCACAGAGTGCCACCTCTCTCTGCAGGGACGGATAATTCCTGCCCTGATGCAGCCCTTCATCCGCCCAGTCCCCGCATGCCGGGAAAGCAGCCTCCCAAAGCAGCCCCAGCGAGAGATAAGGGCTCTTTGCCTGAAATCAAAAATTCATGAAGAAAGCCCAGGGACGGGGCCCTCAGCTGCCAAGAAGCTTGAAAAGCCAAATGGAAATTTTCTCTCCTCTCCAGCAGCTCCCAGCTGTGCCCCCGCCCCCCGTGTGTGGGGCTCTCTGCTGCACCTAGTCACACTCTTCAGTCTCCCCAACGCCAGGTGCCAGGGCATCCAGCTACTGAAGAGCAGTCCCTCTGCCCACCCAGACCAGCTCCGTGACACCCACCGGCATTCTCGACAAAATCTGCATTGCCGCTAGACAAGCTGGCACGGCGCTGACCACCTGCCACCCCAGACCTGGAAGAAGCCCCACATGGCCATGCATTTGTCCCTGGGAGAACACCTACAGATTACTTCCTGTCCCCATCCCCTGACCCACAAATCTGATCAAAATTCACCATGGCTGGTCAGATGGTCATAACTCACGACTTGGGAAGGAGGCTCTGAGTTTCTTGTCACCCTACTGGGCAGACAGTGGTTTGGATGGAATGAAGGGGGAGAAACTCTGAAACCATAAGAGTTGGATAATTTAACTCTGTTGTAAGGGCGAGCTTGAGAAGTGTGACAGGCTAGCTGGCAATGTACAAAATGGCACGGTAGTCGCAGATGCCGTTGCAGAGACGGCGCGTGCCGGGACATTGTCCGAACCACAGAAGCTAGGTAGGAAGGCGGGTTGTCATTGCAGAGGAGTCTGCCACTGAGGAAGTCTACCCGACTCCACTGTCCATGGAAAATGGGAAACTTGAGTGCCCTGCTGCAGAGCTGCCGTTCCTCCTCCCTGCCAAATGGCCCGTGGGTCACTGCACGGTCCCCTGCCCAGCCAGCTGAGGCCCTCAAAGGAATACAGTGTCCCTTGTGAGCTTGGGGGCCGCCTGGGGCTCCATGCCTTGGCTCCTGGTTCCCAGATCTTTCAGGCATTTATGCAGCCTTTTCCATCCAAAGAGGGACCTGGGTTCAGACGGCAGCTTCTCATCAAAAAGCCTGTCCCCCCATCCTGTCACTGAGAAACACCCACCTTTTTTTTAACACTAGCTCCCCAATACAAAGGATTTATTTGCAGCTTCCTCTATATTAGAGCTCCACCATGAAGGGCAGAGATATCAAAAGCCTAAAGTCTTACCTGCCCCCCCAACACGAACAGGAATCTCGCACGCCACGACAAAAAGACAAAACACTAGTCAAGTTCTCAACGGGCTGCACTGAGATACCTGGATATGCCCAGCAGCTAAGACTAAGCACCAAGTCCACGTATAATTTAACTGTGTCTGTGTTTCTGAGTGGGGAGTCTTTTGAAGTTTGTTCCTCCAGATTTTAAAAGTGATTTGTACTCGCCGTGGAACATCTGAAGAGTTCGAGTACAAAGACAGGAGGAGAGTACCCCTAACCTCACTACCTAGATGCAAGCTATTCATATTTTGGCACATTTCTTTTCTATTTTTGTTCTATGTCTTTTGGATTCCATTTGAAATCAGACTCTATACCCAGCTTGGATCAAGAGTATTTTCCCAGGGCGTTGGTAACACTTCACAAGCACGCCGATGGCTGCCTAACTGCCCACAAGACACATATGCCACAGTTTGCCTGATCAACCCTCTGCTCTGGGACACCTAGGTCGTTTCTGTTGCGTTGCTAATTTAAATTATTATGTGATGAGTGCTTCTGCGTAAATCCTCGCCCATTCGTTTAGAGTATTTCTTGAGTCCTGGAAGTGGGATACTAAGGGCAGACTTTTCAAAGGGTGTGGACATTTTCAGATCCTTGCTTCACACAGCCAAGGGGCTTTTCTGAAAGGTTGTAGGAAAGCACCATCCCTGCGACGTTGAAGTCTGAGCCCTGCCGGGTCACGAGGCCAAAGCTGTACCAGTCGGGAGTGACGAGTTTGTGGTGGGGGAACAAGTAGCTCCAGCCCCGAGGAGCTGGAACAGGCAGAGAAGCAAGGTCTAAGCTCACAGCCACCGCCAAAGCCAGAGGACGTTTCTAAGACATGAGTTCTGGAAGATACAGCACGAAGATGGAAAGAGAGACCCCCAAGGCTGAAAGGAAAGATGGCTGGAGTCCTGAGGCCATGCCGAGGTCCAAGAAAAAGCACAATGTGTGAAGGGTGTTTAAGGCCCCAGGAACACGAAGGTGGTTTGGGCATTCAGGCAGAATGGAATTGATTTTTAAAAAGACATTTAGGAAGAGACTAGGGGCGTCGGCTGGCAAGAAGAGAGTAGGGGCAGTTTTAGAAGATGTTCTATTGTAACACGAGCATGAAGATGTCAAAGGAGAGGCTGAAGCTGGCCCGTCTCACCTTATTGATTTCCGGTGCTTGCTGAGTAGGTTACCTTTATTGGAGAATAATTTCATTTTCATTTCCTTTTATCTTGCTCATTTGACTATGTCAAGTCTCTTTAATCAGTCATAATTGGTGCTTCTTGATAGAATATGGAATTCTCTTTTTTTAAAATCTGGTTTATTTTTTTCCATTACACATGTAAAATTTATGCATGGCCCAAACCCCTAAAATATAGAAAAGCATGAAGTATCAGGAAAAAAATAAAAATCACCTGTAACCTGGCTACCAAAAGATAACCACTGCTGACGTATTGGTATAAACCCTGCCAGGCCGACTCCTTCCTATATATGCACTCTCAGTCATCCTCCCCCTCTCCCTGCCTCCTTCCCCACACAAGGTAATCATACTACACAGGTGTATGGTTTTGTTATTGTGGTAAAATGTAAATAAATAACAAAATTTACCATTTTAACTATTTTTAAGCGTACGGCTCTGTGGCATTAAGTACATTCCCATTGATGTGCAACCATCACCACGATCCATTTCCAGAGCTTTCTCAGTTTTCCCAACGGAAATGCTGTACCCATTAAACACTAACTACCCCCTTACCCTCCCCCCAGCCCCTGGCAGTCACCATTCTACTTTTTGTCTCTGGGAATCTGACTGTTTTAAGTGCCTAAGGTGAGTGGAATCATGCGGTATCTGTCCTCTCGTGTCTGGCTTGCTTCACTTAGCATGATGTCTTCAAGGTTCATCCATGTTTCCAGATGTGTCAGAATTTCTTTTCTTTTTTTTTTTTTATTTTTTTATTTTTCATGGAACATCACAGAACTGAATGAATTTCTTTTCTTTAAACTGGGTATCCACATGCAGGAGAATGAAACTAGACCCTGATCTCTCGCCTCAATCAAAATAGATTAAAGATTTAAATCTAAGACCTGAAACTATGAAACTACTAAAAGAAAACATTTGGGAAACCTGTCAAGGGCTTCTTGAGTAGTAACCCCAAAGGACAGGCAACCGAAACAAACTTGGGCAAATGGGGTCACATCAAGCTAAAAAGCTTCTGCACAACAAAGGAAACGATCAACAGAATGAAGAGACAACCCATAGATTGGGAGAAAATATTTGCAAACTACCGGTCTGACAAGGGATTAATAACTAGAATATATAACAAGCTCCAACAACTCCATAGGAAAAAATCAAATAATCCAATTAAAAATCGGACAAAGGATCTGAACAGACATTTGTCAAAAGAAGACATACAAATGGCCAACAGGTATATGCAAAGATGTTCAACAACATTAGTCACCAGAGAAATGCAAATCAAAACTATAATGAGATATGGCATCTCACCACAGTTAGAATGCCCTTTATCAAAAGGACAGGTGACAACGAATGCTGGCGAGGATGTGGAGAAAGGGGAACCCTCCTACACCGTTGGTGAGAATGTAAATGAGTGCAACCACTATGGAAAACAGTATGGAGGTTCCTGAAAAAACTAAAAATAGACCCACCATATGACCCAGCAGTCTCACTGCTGGGTATATAGCCAAAGGAGGGGAATTTATTATATTGAAAAGATATCTACACGCCTATGTTTATATGAAATCAACCTAAGTGTCCATCAATGATGAATGGATAAAGAAATTGTGGTATATGTATACAATGGTATATTATATAGCCACAAAAAGAATGAAATCCTGCCATTTGAAACACCAGGATGGAACTGGAGAACATTATGTTAAGTGAAATAAGCCAAGCACAGGAAGACAAACCTCACATGTTCATACTCTTATATGGGAGCTAAATATTCAAAATGATTGATCTCATGGAGACAGAGAGTAGAATGACAGTTATCAGAGGCTGGGATGGGTACTGGGGGAGGGGGGATAAAGTGGGGATGGTTAATGGGTGCAAAAATATAGTTACATAGTTAGAACGAACAACATTTGGTAGCACAACGAAGTGATTATAATCAATAATAAGTTAGGGTATAATTTAAAGTAACTAAAGGAGGGGAATTGGAATGTTAAATGCCTGAGGTGGTGGATTCCCCAATTACCCTGATTAGATTGATTCACATTGTATGCCTGTATCAAACATCACGTGTACCCTATAAAGATATACAATATTATATAGCCATAATAATTAAAAATAAGATATTTAAAAATTTTTTTAAATAAAAAAATTTCAATTCTTTTTAGGGCTAATATTCCATTGTATGTACATATACTACATTTAGTTTACACATTCATGTGCTGATAGACACTTGGCACAAATAGTTTTTTAAGCTGCTTTTTCCCCTTAGCATATTATGCCCATCATTTCATGTCAATAAAGTAAAATTACATGATTTTTAATGACTATTTAGTGTTTTGTTAAACAGGTATTCTTTATTTAACCAGATTGCTAACAATGAACACTTGATTATTTACAGATTTTTATTTAATAAACTTTTAAGTGATGAACAGTCTTTCCAACGTTTTAAGAAATATATCACACACTATAATGTATATGCAAAAATTTAAAGGATAATAATAAAATAAATACTGCTGTCCCCCCACCCCTGCTGAAGAAATAGAACATTATCAAAACCTTAGAAGCCCATGGAGGCCCTGCTTCTTCAAGGAAACCCTCCTCCCTATGAGATTGGTATTACTTTAGAATCCCTCCTCCCTCTGCCTCCACCCCCCTCCACCATTAGGGCAAACCCATTTGGAACAATAATTGTCCACAGCACATTTTCCCGAAATCTGAATGAGGGGTTTAGAACAACACCGTGTCTGCTGGGGGCTTCAGCAGAGTCATCTAAGGTGGCCTTTGGCATCCCCAACTTACCACTTTGGAGGTCCCTCCCAGGGTATGATGTGTCTCCTCTCTCCTTCTGGGGTCCTCTTGTTTCTTTTCTTGACAGCCTGTAGGTGTCTTTTGGATAAAATGAATACACAAACACTCCCCTCTCAAGAACAAACAGTGATCTCAGCCACTATATTGTTTAAATGCACATTAAGGAAGCATTTAATTAAATGCATCATAATTGATTAAGATTCCTTCTACCCTAAATGAATAGAGGCTTTTTCACAACTAACCAGAGATGTGTTAACTCCCTGCTTTGCCTCACCCTGCTTCTATGCAGACTGTAGCTCTGGGTATCTTCGAGCATCTGCTACACCCTTCCTGCCGGAAGCCCCCAATAATATAGAAACAACAGCACCCTGCTTGCTTCTGCCTGAATGCAGCGGGGTGTGCAGGAGGAAGGCTTCCTTGGTAATTGCAGAGAATAGAGTCTGAGGCTAGCATACTACCATCCGCTACCATTTACTTAATGCTTGCTATGTTTCTGGCACTTTATATACATTATCTGAAAAGTACATTTTATTACTTTTGCACATAAGGAAACTCCAATCACACACTCAAAGACACTAGCTGGTAAATGATCGATTCGGAGTTTGGATGGGGTGTGTGCACCATTAAAGTGCGTGTGCCTGACCACTATAAGAGTTAAAGCTATGCAACATTTAGGATTTTTTCCCTGAGTGTATTAGTTTCCTAGGGCTGACATAGCAAAGTACTACAAACTTGGTGGCTTAAAACAACAGAAATGTGTTCTGTCACAGTTCTGGAGACTAGAAGCCCCAAATCAAGGCAGGATCAGTTCCTTCTTAGGGCTGTGAGGGAGAATCCCTTCCTTCCTCTCACTGCTCTTTGGATAGTTGCTGGCAATCCTTAGTGTCACTGGGTTTGCAGACGCATCACTCACTCTCTGCCTCTGTCATCATGTGGCCTTCTTCTCTGTGTCTGGCTTCAAATGTCCCTCTCCTTTCTTTTGTAAAGACACTAGTTCTGGGATTTAGAGCTGACCTTAACCCAGTATGACTTCATCTTAACTTGATTATACTGCAAAGACCCTAATTCTAAATAAGGTCACATTCCCAGATACCAGGGCCTAGGACTTGAGCATGTCTTCTGGGGGGAACACAGTTCAACCCACTGCCCCGGACATCCTTGTCACCAGGCCATTCCCCTGCCCTGTATCTTTCCTGGAGCACGGAAGAACATTGTTCCCTGTTTAAACAAGCACACAGGAGGCGCTAGAGGTCTTTCCCGGCCAAAGCGACAGCAGGCGAGCTGGGCACAAGCCTGTGCTGAGCAAGATACCTTTTCAGTGAAAGGAACCCCATGGCAGCAAGGCCAAGAGAGCCACGGGCCAGCAGAGAGGCTGAGCCGAGCCATGGGGACGCGGTCCCCTTTGGTGTCTGCAGCTGAGCTCCCGAGCACACAGTGACACGGCCCAGCTATGCCACTCATCCCTCCTCTGGCTGGATCTTTTATGAGGTCACTGTGCTTGGGGAGTTTGGGCTCCAAATAAACGAAGATGCAAAAAGTCTTGAGTTTCACGGCTCTCCCCAGGTTAGATTCTACAGGTATGAAGGATGGTGTGGCCCCAGGTGTTTCCCCAGAGACCTGGCTGGGGTTCTGCAGCATCTCGCTCCTACTTCTATCCTAAAACTTGCCTCTCGGGAGTGAACTGTCTTCGCTTGTTGTTCGTTTTCCCCCTCTGGGCTGTGAGGGTCCATTCCCTGAGTTAGGGACTGTGCCACGGTGGACTCCAAGCTCAGCCTCATGCTTTGTAGGCGATCAGCCGTTGTTTAGTGAATGAATGAATTCTTCAATAAACCAGCGAATGACTACATGGAAGAAACAGTCTAGTGGACTCTTTAGCCTCAAGTATTGGATAACCTTCCTCTTCCTTGACCATAGAAGAAGGGAGAATTTCTTTCTCAAAGACCCCAGCCCTAGACTTCACAGTCTTTTCTCCCCTCAGAGGCTCCTGCAGGGCATTCTGGGAGCAACCTACCAGCTAATGTGTACAGATCCATTTTTAAAGGGCCCAAGGGAGAGATCTGTATAGATACATGCACACGCATAATAAAGTTTAAGTGTGTGTGTACGTGTATAAACGCTTTTGGTTATCGGCTGCTGCATAACAAACTGTCCCCAAACTTAGTGGCACAAAACAACCATTTTATTATGCATACAGACTCTTTGGGTCAGGAAATCAGACAGGAACTAGCAGAGGTGGCTAGTCTCTGCTCCCCAGTGTCTGGGAACTCAGCTGGAAAGACTTGAAAGCTGAGGGTGACTCAACAGTTGGGGGCTGGAGTCATCTGGAGGCATGGTCACCCACATGTCTGGTGGTTTGGCTGGAACCTCAGTGAGGCTCTCAGCCCAAACACCTACATGTGGTCTCTCCATGTGGTCTCTCCACATGGGCTAGTTTGGGCTTCTTCAAACCAGCTGGTAGCTGGAATCCAAAACAAGATGTCACAATAAAGCAAAGCCCTTGTGCATGGCATTTTTGTGATTTAGCCTCAGAAGTCACAGAGCAGCATATGTTGTATTAGTCACGATAGACACATGGTTTGCCTGGGTTCAAGGCATGGGGGAGTGGGCAAATTTCTAGAAGAGCCTGTGGATAGACGGCATTGGTATGTCCACCTTTGGAAAACACAATCTGCCATGCAAACTTTCTATTGAAATGTTACCTATACACAGAAAAGTACATGATCGTAAGTGAGCAGCTTAATAAATCTTCGTAAGTGAACACACCTGTGCCACCACCACCCAGCTTGGGAACAGAACATTGTCAGCACCCCAGGAAACCCCCTCAGACCCCCTCCCAGGCTCTACCACCCCACAGAGGTCATGAGACTTCTTCACACCATAGGTGCATCTTTCCTTTTTCTGAACTTTGTACAAATGGAATCACACATGTTCTGTTTTGTGACTGGCTTCTTTTGCTCAGCGTTATGTTGACATTGTGCTTATAGCAATGGTTTGTTCGTTCTTAATGCTTTATAGTGTTCCATGGAATACAAATGCACCACAATTTGTGTATCCATTCTAGGGCTGATGGACATTTGGGCTGTTTATGATCTTAGGCTAATACAAAGAGCCCTACCGTGAGCATTGTTGTACTCGTGTTTCTGTGGGTACGCACTTGGGAATGAGAATTACGCGTGCTCATGATTGCCTAGGTTTCAAATGTCCTATCACTTGTGCGACCTTGAGCCCAGTTATTTCTCCTCTCTGGCCTCAGTTTATTGGTCTGTAAAATAGAGATAATAATACCCACCTGTGGAGTTATTGTGAGGGTGAAATATAAGAAAACATGTAAAGCTCTTAGAACTATGCTTGGCTCTTAGTAAGAGCTTGACAGACGTTAGCTCTCATTCTTCCCACCTTTCTTGTGGTAACTTCTCAGTCTCCTCCACTGTTTTCCTCCTCCTGCCTCCTAAAAGTTCCATTCTCCCAAATTCAAGGTAATCTGGTCTGCTTTGCTCTCTCCCTGAAACTTAACGACTGCCATGACTTCCACTATCTTGCAGGTGGACAACGTTGCAAAGTGCTACATAAAAGAGCGTGACTCCAAATCCCCTGGTCTGTAAAACCTGGCCTCTCTGCTACTCGCCAATCACAGCTGCCCAGTCAGATGTATTTGCCCCGTTCCCATTAACGGATGTGTTCCCACAATCTCAACAGTCGTGCGTCACACTCGCCTCTCTCTTCCCTACTAGAATCCCCTTGGCGTCCTCTCCGACCCTCCCCTCTCCCTTGCACTCCGTATCTAATCTCCAGGGAAGTCCTGATGAACCTTCCGACACTCACACTCACATCACTCTTTCCTTTCTTTTCCGTATCCCTCCCGCTGTCTAGTGCAGGCCCTGGTCCCTGGGGCTGTCGCCGCTGCCCGGAGGCGCAGGCTCTCCTCCTTCCAGCTCACCCTGCTCACTGCCCCCAGGTCAGTGTGACTAAAACGCTGCTCCCTCATAAACGCCCGTGCTGGGGCGCGTGACTACTGGAATGGCAACATGCAGAGCTCTGTGAACCTTCTTCCCGGTAGAGCAACCATAACCGGTGAACATTGCTTAAAATCAAAACCACAACCATTTAAAGCCTCTGGAAATTGCCCTAAGGGCACACGGCAAATTAATACACTTTTATTCAAGAAAATCTATTAAATCGCAGTAAGAACAGTGAGAATCAGTCACAAACCACTTCCTCCCTCCCCCTGTCAGCTCGGCACCATGGAAGCTTTACTCCCTGGCAGGTGAGGCCAAGCACGCGGGCCACCTCTCCCCCGGCTCTCAGTTGACGGTCACTGTGCCTCCACGGGAAGGGCAGGCTGTAGCATGTCCCCTGCCCTCCAGCTCTGTGTGGCAAAAACGCTACTTCAGGCAAGACGGGTTGATAAGCCTCGGCCCCCTGCGACACCAGCCCCTACGCTTAGGGCAGAAGCTCGACCTCAGGCGAGGCGGGCTGAGAGTGCCAGAGCCTCGTCACCCTGGCCTCAGCTTGCTCACAGGGAACAGTGTTTATGCTGGGGGAGGCCAGCCAAGAAGGCCAGGGCATGCTGCCCCGTCCAGCACTTCGCTCGTAAAGCAGGATTATCACGCTGAGAGGAGAGGCACCGTTTCTGCCCGAGTTCCCAAGCTCCAGAGCAGTGGTGCGGAGGTTTTGCCCAGGGGAGGAGGCAGGCCGTAAAAACAGCTCCGAAGCTCTCCCCAGGGAAACACTCCACGTAGAACACAGTGTGGGAAAGTACAAGTGTCAGGGTGCTCTCAAAAGCAAGGAAGGTTTTGCTGGGAAGCAATTAAGAGGAGCCTGAAGTTTCATTAGAGCAACAAACTAAACTGTAGACCAGGGAGAAGCAGGGAGAGTCAGCCAAGAAGAGCCCTCTTGGAGTTGGAATAAGCTTCAAAGACTACCCCCACCAAGGGCCCAAATTTAACCAGACGAGACAAGAGGCCATTTATGCCCCAGGGCATCGCCTAACACAGCAGAGCCATGGGCCGGCAATGGTGGAGGCTAATAGCTGGATGTGATGCCACAGCTGGCTGACAGCTTAATAGAGAGAAAGAAGATGGTCAGAAGGACCACACGGTGTATGATTCCGTTTATGTGAAATGTCCAGAATAGGCAAATCTACAGAGACAGAAAGAAGACTAGTGGTTGCCTAGAACTGGAGTGGGAGTTGGGGGTGCTTGGGGGAAATGGGGAGCAACTGTTAATGGGGAAGGGGTTTCTCTTTGGGGCAATGGAGATAATCTGAAATTAATTGTGGTAAGGGTTGCACACTCTGTGCTAAATACCATTGCATTGTACACTTTAAATGGGTGAATTGTATGGCATATGAATTATATCTCAATAGAACAGATAAAAATTATCATGATCATAACAACTGCTATCGCTTATAGAGCATTTACTCTCCAGGGCATATTGTATTAAGTGTTTCAAATACGTTATTTTATTTTTCAGCATTATGATATGGGTATCATTTTCTGTATATTATAGATGAAGTCACTGAGACTCATAAAACCTTAGGTCAGTTGCCCAAGAAAACACAACTAATAAATACCACTGCCTAGATTTGCATTCTTTTGCTTCTAAAGAACATGTTCTTCAATTATTTTTTATGGCTTTGAAGAAGATAAATCTAATTTCTTTCAATGTTACATAATAAACAATTACTGACCATCTACTACGAGGTAGGCCTTATGTTTCCCAAAGTAGGTGAGGATCTCCCACAGGCTATCTTGAGAAATTCCTCTTGAAAAAGACTTAAATTTTTTTTTATTGTGGTTAAAATATATATAACACAATGTGCTTGTTTCAGCAGCACATATACTAACTATATATATATATATATACACACACACACACACGTAACTTAAATTTACCCTCTTAACCATTTGTAAACGTACAATTCAGTGGTCTTAACTATATTCACAATGTTGTGCAACCATCACCACCATTACTCAGAACTTTTTCATTCACAACTGAAACTCTATACCTATTTAATACTACCTTCCCATTACCCCCTTCTCCCAGCCCTTGGTAGCCACTAGTCTACTTTCTATCTCTAGATTTGATTTTTCTAAGTCCCTCTTATAAGTAGAATCATGTAGTATTTATCCTCTTGTGACTGGTTTATTTCACTTTACATAATGTCTTAAAGTATCATCCACATTGTGGCATGTGTTGGAATTTCATCCTTTTTTAAGGCTGAAAAATATTCCATTATATGTACATACCGATTTTATTTATTTACTTACTTTTTATTCCTTTTTACACTAATGTCCTTTGTATCATTCTGATTTTAGTGTGTTACTGAAGTGAGTGACAATTTTATTTATCCATTCATCCAACAATGGACATTTGGGTTGTGTCCACCTTTTGGCTATTGTGAATAATGCTGCTATGGACATTGGTGTACCAATATCTGCTTCAATAAAATTTAACTTTTTAAGTGCCATGTCTGCATTGTGGATGGTACAGGAGATGATTTTAGGGTAGCACATGGAAGAACATTTTAAAATTAAATAGTTATGATAATGTGGTTCGAATAATTATAATCAGCACACCAAACCTGCAATATCACAGGTATACTATTGCTTTGGTCCATGGGGTTTTTCAACCTTAGCACTATTGACACTGGGGTCCAGATAATCCTTTGTCGTGGGGCTGTCCTGTGCACTGTAGGATGGTTAGCAGCATCCACAGTCTCTACCTACTAGAGGCCAGCAGCACCCCTCCAGTTGTGACAACCAAAAATGTCTTCAGACATTGTCAAATGTCCCCTAGGCCCAGGGGACAAAATTGTCCCCAGCTGAGAACTACTGATTTAGGACGAGGCTGAAGAAGGTATTTAACTTTAAAAAATGAGTCAATTTAATGAGATTATTAAGACAATAAAAAAGCAGAAAGTGCAGAGATAGGATCAAAATTATTGATGTGGCTTGCAGATGCCTGGAGTTTGGGATGTGTGCTGTGTACTAGGCTAGGATATCCAAATAGTCAAGTGGCTGAGATGAAACCATTAATTATATAATAAGATGAAGGTATTATCTGGCCTCTACCACTGGCCCCACCCACCTTTTCATCTCCTCTCCCACTCATTCTCCACTTGGCCTTTGCTCTGGACAAACTGTCTCGTGTTCTTCCACTGAGAGGCCTAATGCTCTTATCACCTGGAATGCCAGGCTTCCATCTCCCCACTCTGCCCCTCCAAATTCAGCCCCATGGACTATCAAGGACCAGTTCGAATCCCCAAGAAGCTGAATCAGAAGAAATTGCTTCCTCCTCTGAATAATTACTTATGACACTGATTGTACTCTATTGCTTACTGGCCAGTTCTTTGAGTTCTCTCTTCAAGTATTTCCCCTTTGCCCTATATCCACACCTAAGTAGGTACAGGTCTCTGCTTTATAGTTCTGCCTATCTTTACAGTATTATATGTCTTGCTCAGTAAAAATATTTACTGTCTTGTTAATAAATTTAAATGTATGATAAAACAATATAAGGGTCTCTGGAAGGATATAAATGGCCTTAAAATAGCTCAATAACATAAAATTATGTAGGAAAGGGTGTATGATGGACTTATTTAATGCACAAGTTTTATTGATTACTTTGGAATTATTTAATAATAGCATGAAGAACTCAATTCTTATTGCTGTAATTAAGGATGATGTAAAGAAGAGGAATGCATGGTGACTAAGAAGTCATCTTTAGCCAATCACCTGTCTGACACTCTGCATGTATCTGATTATAAGGTGGGAACACCTTTTCACCAGTGTGTTTGTGTTTATGTGTGTGTGTGTGTGTTTCATAAGCATTTTCAAAACTGAGTCCTATGCATGTAAGTATAAGTATTACCATAAAATTCACCAAATTTGGACCATTTGCGAGTCACCCCTTGGGGGCACTATTAAAATTTCTCCAGGACTGTTCAGCTTATGGTTTTACTATACACAACCTCACATACAGGTTAAAGCAGCAGCCCAAATCATAGACAAGGTTATTCTTTTGACCGGTCAGTGGAAACTTTTATCCTTAACAAAAGGAGCCACATTTTTGAATTTCATTATAGTTTGTCCTCAGGGAACTATTGCATGGTGGGACTTAAAGCCTCTACACAAACTTCGTCCCCATTATCCATAAGAAGCTAGCCAGGAGGCCTGGGCACAGGGCGTTCTGAACCCATTGCCTAGGCTGCACACAGGCAGCACTGGGTGTGACAATAAAGTGACACTATGGGATCTCCTACAGTCTGTACCATGTCCGGCCTTCAGAGAAATTTCATAAACACCCAGGCTGCATCTTTTCATGTAATTTTCTCAGCCTTATCCTTTCCCATTTCCCTTCCAATGATTATGTTGATGAAGTCCAGTCTCAGAAACTTTAATTCAGTCCTCAAACCCTCTTTTGGCAAGGATATTCCAAAGGAAAAGTTTCTTTCACCACGTGGTAGATTTTGCTAGCAAAAAAAAAAAAAATCCTGCATGCGTTGGGGCAGGGTGTATATAGGAATTCTCTGTACTTTCCACTCAATTTTGTTATGAACCTAAAAGTGCTCTAAAAAATAAAGTCTGTCTAAATATATACATATATATATATATATATATTTTTTTTTTTTAAATTCTGAATCCGGTAATCACTCCTTCTGAGGGACAGAACTTAGAAAACAAGTTAGGACCTTGGAGGAAGGTTCTGCAATGGGCCCCCATCATAACGATGGCAAATGTTAAACTTAGGCATGTGCACAGCTCTGTTTGATGCACTTTACATGTATGAACGCATTTGCTACTTACAGGACCCCATGAGGGAAGCACATTACTGTCAGGTGCGCTTTACAGACGGAAGTGGGGCAGACAGAAGTACAGTACTCTCCCAAAGTCACAAGGCTAGGAAGGGTGGAACCAGGATTCAAGCCCCAGCAGGCAGAGGTTCCAAAGCCAGTTGCTTTCAACTGTCCCCTGAGGACACAGAATAGTGAAAATGACAAACTGAGTGAATTGCTGCTTTGGCCCGAAAATAAACAGAGCATTGTTATCTGCTCTGACCACTGCTCCCTGCCGTCTCCCAGAGTACCCTGAAGACTTTCTCAGATTAGGAAATCCTGCTGAGAGGCCCCGTTGAGTTAGAGGCAGTTCTACTTTTAGTAAAGTCCTGCAGCCTCAGCCACCCCAGAAGGTGAGTGGGTGCACGCCCTCGCCCTTGTTCTCTTTATAACAAGGCACTTGTTCTGGAAGTGCTTTTGGAAATTCATGTTACAGCCATGTCCCAACACCTGGTTATCCTAGGCCAAGGCTTACCAAATCCTCAATCCCAACAGGCTGCTAAACTTGAAGCCAAAAATAAGTCCATTCTCTCTCCAAAATGGCCTCCCACAGAAATGCTTTCTAGAATAAAGTAAAATGACTAAACAGAAAATGGCAAGAGACCAAGCAGAGGGGAGGGAACAGAAACCAGAGACAAATAAGAAAACAGTTCCATGTGTTAGAAAATGATAATAGTTTTTTTTTTAAAAAAAACAGCCAGAGCTGCAAAGAAGATGCACGTGTCCTTTCGCACTTCCTTCTCTGCCCGAGCTCAATCTGCACCTCTTTTTGAGCCTCTGTGACACAACTGTGTTTTAGAATTCCTGAACTGGACAGATGGCCCTTTTTTGCGAACTCTTAGCTGAACCTATGTTCCTGAGCTGGGAGGAAAAAAATCCATTCGTACAATGGTGAGCCCATCTGCAATCTACTCCCAACAGCTGCTTTTTGTGGCTCTGAATCAAGCTGGAGAATTCAGCCCGGGTCTCTGGAGCCATTTCATGCTAGCATTTCAAGGCCTAACAAGACATCTCAGTCTTCCTTAGCGAACACAGGCAGAAGCAGACCTACACTGGGCTGGGCCTGTTTCCCCAGCATACGTGTAGCCATGTGTATGCCCAGCAAGCTGCACTATTTAAAAACAAGAACCAGAAAACCATGAATCAGAATCAAGTGTGTTCATAGGTTCATGTGTACACACACACCCCAACTAACAAATCTATTTTAAAATTATTTTAATTGATAAAAATTATATGTATTTATGGTTTACAACATGTTTTGATGTATGTAAACATGTGGACTGGCTAAATCAAGCCAGTTAACATATGTATTACCTCATATATTTACTTGGAAACAAATCTAAAGCTCTTTTCTGAAAGTCCAAACTAATGCTTTGCTACTTCAAGCCTGGGTTTTTCTTTCCCAAGAGAGAAGAGAATATAGAGGAATAAATAAATACTGAAATGAAACTTCTTCTTTTTTTTTTTTTTTTAGGTAACGTGACAACTGAATGAAAAATACAGCAATGACAAAGGATTCTTTCTTCTCCTTCACTCTGATGTAACATGGGTGTGGGTTCTTTCAAAGGTAGACACAAAGGATCTGGGACTCCATTCAGGCCTGAGAGGCTATTTCTGTCCACACTCTGGGATTCTTACACCTTCAGAACGGGGAATGGGCTTCAGGAGTCTCTGACAGATACATCTCATGCAGTGATTTCTGGTTCAGTGCTGATCAGCCTTCAAAAGATGTTATTTGGTCAGGCTCCCTGAAACTGGAGCCAGCCCATTCTTCCTTATGACAATCCTGAAATGTGCTGGAAAAATTCAACATTGCTATAAACACCTTCCCTTCTCTGGCTAAATTGTTCCTCTCATTTCATCCCCTGCTCCCTCTCTTCCAGCCCTACTGTGCCTTTGTAGGGTGGCCCTGACTGCCCTACAGGGCTTGCATTTCAAGTCACTCAAGTGTTCTATTCTTGGTAAACCACATGCCATTGCAAAAGCAGTTTCAGGCACACAGAATTTCAGAACTGGGCCTAGTTCCATGGCCGGATAGGGTGAGTGGGTGGAAGAATCGGTCTTGACTGACTGCCCATTGAGTGCCAGGCACACAGTTAGTGTTTACCAGAGTTACTTAATTTCATCAACTACTATTGCTACCCCTAGTTGCCAAATGAAGAGATCAGGGGTATGCAGAAAGGTTGAGTAGCTTGCCCAAGGCCACACAACCGTACAGGCTTCAATTCTAGGTCCTACTTCAAAGGTTACATTCTTCCAGATGGCCTTCAACTTGTGTTAAGGGAAAGAGAAGAAAGGACAGTGAACAATAACTGAGGTCTGTACTGCCCAGCACGACCCCATCTCCGGTCCCTAGATGAAGGGGCCGCTGCTTCCACATCCCTCCATCTCCTTCTGGCTGGGTGACTCACTACCTTCTCTCCTCTTTCCCGGGGCATGACCCCAAATTTCGCCCCCTGCGTCCAGGGCTACAGGTGAGTCAGTCGGTCGGCCTGGACCCACCAGAACCCCGCAGCTGAGCTACTGGCCAACCACCCTCTTCCCAGCCCCAGACGACATCTGACCTTAGCCAGCCCCCCAAAACAGCCTGCGGTCACAATCGCCTCTCTCTTCACGCCGTCCCCACCAACATAAAACACTAGCCATCTTCTAGCCCCCCTCCCTTTCCCCCCGCCCCCCTGGGCTGGCTTCACCCAATAGCGCCTTGGTCCACAGACTAAAGACGCCAAATGTAACCAATTGTCGAGGAGCTCTCCGCTAAGAACCCCGCCTCCACTCTGAGGAGCAGCTCCGCTGACCAATAAACTGCCTACCAGGTGCAATGAACGCACGGGACGAGTGGAGTAGCGGCTGAGCTGCCCAATGAACAGGCGGGTTTCCGTGGCTAGGGGCGTGGCAGAAGCCGTCGTCAGGGGCGTGGCGGCAGTTGCTTGGGCGGGGCCGGTAGCGGCGGGAGCTGCACTGGCCAGGGGTTCCGGCTGCATTTCCATGAGCGCCGCCGGCAGCCGCGGAGCTGCGAGAACCGGACGTGGGGCGAGCTGGGCAGCTGTAATCAGGTAAAGCCACAGCCGAGCGAGCTCGGCGGAGCCGCGATCACGCCCCGAATCCGTCGGGCCACATCCCCGAGCCTCGCGGTCCCCAGCGTGATTCGGCCCATCCTCGGCAGCCTGCGGGTCCCGGATCCTCGGGGATCCTCGCGGGTCCCCGGGGGCTTGTCATCGGCAGCGCGGGGGTTCCCAGGGCCGGCTCGCCGGGTAGCAGGGACGGCCTAGACCGCGGCGGGGATACGTCTTCCTGAAGGCCCTTTGTCCCCTGCTGCCCGAGGAACCGAGGTTGGGGACAACCCCAACCGCGGCCTCTCTGGCTGCCACCCCCCACCGGTGCGCAGTCTTGGGCTTCCGGGGTCCGGGGAGGGGTCTGCCGGCCCTGGCTTGGTGAAGAAGTTCGGGAGCCTCACGTAGAAGGAGAGGGCCTCAGGGCCTTATTACAGCCCCGGAAACCCCGGGGGGCCTCTGCATTTCGAGGCTTCAGGGGCGCCCCCAGGACCGATGGGTTCAAGTTCTAGGGAGGCCGCTTTTGACCCACTTGGAAGCGCGCTTCCTGAGCTCGGCCTCGCACAGGACGCTGTTGTAGGGGCGCTGTGTGGGCTTTCCCCACGTCGAGAGCTGTCCAGTAGCACAGAAGGCTGCTAGCCCAGGCAGACAGCGCCTCGACCTTGGAAGGGTCCAGGCAGAGGCCATCTGACAGCCACCTGTCAGGGATGCTTAGAAAGGACTCCCAAGAGAGAACCGCATAGCCCATCTGTAAGGCCCTTCTCCACCCTCAGATGCACTCTGGGTGACCTTTGATGCCTAGCTGGCGAAGGGTACTTCTGGGGGCCCATTAGGTTCAAAATGAGTGTTGAGTTCACCCGTATGAATTTTGAGGTTTCAGCTCTCAGAGTGGGTGTTAGCAAAGACATTGGGTTATACCAAAAGATAGAGGCTTATTTAGCCACTGTGAAACTCCTTAATTTGAACTATCAAGAACGCCTCTCTGTCTTCCCAGTTCCTCTATTTTGGTTACTCCACCTCCAGCTTGTCAGTTTCACCTGCATTCCAGTAAGGAAATCCGAAGGCAGGTTCCAAGAACAGGCTCAGGAGAGGGACCTGGAGAGACTGCACGTTTGGCAGAATCAATGTGATCTGTGCCCAGAGCTTTTGGAGGGCCATTTCGTTACAACTACATTAAGCAGAGTCCAAAAGAGGAACTATCTATTCCCCTTCACCTCCCTCTGTCATTTGCCGGAATAGAGAGGACACAATCGTCTTCTACAGGTCAGGAAGCAGAGAAAGAATCTTAACACAACTTGCTGCCTGTTCTAGGATGAATTAACCTTTGCACAGCCAGTCAGAAAGCAAACCAGTCCATATACTGCTGATTGTTGGCATAGTCTTAGGACATTTTATAGCTGAAGAAACCTTAAATAAAGCTCACCTAATTCAGTCTCCTCAATGCGCAGGTGAGGAAACTGAGGCCTTGGATGGCCACAGGGCTTGCTGGTTATCACAGAGCCATGACTGAGGGTTGGTCTCTTGATCTGAGCTCTAGCCAGTACATGACATTTCACTTCCAGCTTAGTTCTCTCACGCTTGGTGTTTAAATTTTAGGGGAGCCCATAGAGGTTAGGAGTACATATTTTGGTGTCTGAGTGCCTGGGTTTGAATCCTAAGCCCTGTCTCTTGCTAGCTGTATAACCTTGGGCAAGTTACCTAACCTCTCTGTGCCTCTGTTTCCTTACCTATGGAACAGGAATAATGGTGCTTATGATAGAAGGTTGCTTTGAGGAGTGCATGAGTGAGTTGCTATATCTGAAGCATTTACAGCAGTGCCTGGCACGTAGTAGCCACTATAGATTTGCTAAATACAGTGTTCTGCTGCCTTCTTACACAGTTTTTCTTCTTATCCACCACCTAATATTTTCTATCAGGAGCTAATTTTTTCCCTTGCCTCTTCCCCCCACTTCATTAAATATATTCCAGATTTTCTTTTAACACAATCTGCAGGGGTTTCTAAGTCATGCTGCATCCAAGTCACACTGCACATTGTCTTATTTTTCTGTCTTTCATTGATTCAGGTAATTCAGTATCTCTGTTAGTTCCCCCCTTATACTTACACTCTTTTTAGACTCCAAATCTTTTTTATTTTCTTTAAAAAGGGAGGGGAAGTTGCCTTCTTAGCACAGTAGGCAGTGCTTCAGTCTCATGAAAAGGGAGGGGGAAAATCCCTCAAAGAGGTAAACAAAGTCCCTGATGATACCAGTCTGTACGGCGTCCTTCCAAATATGTGTCCCCTCTGTTCACCCCTCCTCCTCAGTGGTCAGTGTGCTGCAGCTTGATTCTAAATGGAGGAACATTTTTAGATTAAGATTTCATGAGCCACTGTATTAAGTGCTTTTCGGAAGTTCAGGGATCATGTGTCAAATGCATTTAAGCGAGTTACTTAGTCATTGGAGTAGGGGAGCACCAGCCGTGCCTGAAGAAAGAAAAAAGCCGCTCCTCGCTGGTGATCTAGCTTGTTCACGGTTTGTCTCCGTCTTTCGTGTTCTTTTCCAGAGCTTGAAATAAAGCAGACGGCAAGTGCAAGTGCAATGGAAGGGTCCTGTTCTCTCGTTTTATTCAGGGTAGTTCCCTTTCTTCCCTTTTCACTTTCACCTTCAGTTCCTTCCATCACTTTCACGGTGACAGATAGCCACTCTCAGTTTCCCAGCCAATTCCCTTCGGGCGGAAAGATGCCTGTCACCTTTAGTTTTTGCAAGAATCCAGTCACCTCTGGTTTTCCCTTCTCTGTTTTTGTCTGTTTTCTGGATTGAACCAAAGATTATCACTATTCATTGAATGGCACCTTCTTTTGCTTCATTTTTCTTAAGAGTTGATCTTGAGTTTTGCTTTTTTGTGTAGGCTATTCTAGAGATTAGCCATTTTAGAATAGTAGTTTTTGCTTCTTTGCTTGTGTATTAATGTGGGCCCCTTTCTCTCTGCCTCACTCTCTTCTGGTAACATTTTGGTAGAAGGGTTTTCATTCACTTTTACTTCTTGCTTCATCCACATATCCCTTTCTCCTGGTAATCTCTGGCAGGGCCCACAAACAGTATAGTGGTTCCCACTGCCCTTGCCCAGAGCTTAAAACAACTTCTTTGGTCCTGTGGAAAACAGAGAGGGACAGAGTCTGTCTTATTTTTTGCCTGAAATCTGGCTCTTTGAAAAGCCCTGGCAGACAGACACTTCCAATATAATGGAATTCCATGTGGCAAAATTTCTGCCATGACCTACCGCTTACAGTATTGCTTTGTGAGTTTTGAGTACTCCTTGATCAGTTTAGGAGTATAGGTGACATGAAGCACGAGGTGTCTAAGCCTTCCTGTTTCACTGGGCTAAGCTGTCCCCAGGAACAGAGCAATGAAAGTGTAGAGTACCTCTTGATGTGGTCTGGTGTTAGGATTTTACAGTAGCTTTTCATGGCCCAGACTTTTTGGCAAGGGCATGATTAGGACATTTTAACTCCTGTGCTACTGTTTCTGTATTGACCCCATAGATGACATTATCTCCCTCAGGGGTCATTTTCAAATCTGCAGATTTATTTTTGCCTTTTTGGTTACAGGGCAATGTGATTTTGGATTAAATGCCTTCTGTTTATAAAATAGCTGATGTGGACAGATGATGAGCCCTACTGTTACCCATGGAGCCTGTGCATGGGGCCAGGTGGGTGAAGGGCTTGCTACACGCTGACCCTTCCTCTGATGTTTTGCAATAGCTTAGCAGCAAACAGGTAAAGAGCTTATTAGAGAATTGGAAAATTGGTACCCTTGGGTTTGCCTGGTTTCTGGTTTTCTTTTGTTGTCAGTAAGTGGAAGTTCATTGCAATGAGCATCTGGTGTATGCCAGGAACACAGTTGACCAGATTAACAAGTGTGTTTGGTTTGTTGCACGAAGACTATTTTTGTTTTTAAATTGTTTTAATTTAAACTTTTCTAAAATTTTGACGTTTTTAATTCAAATTTTATTTTTTAAAAAATAGGTAATACAGTCACATGTTGAAAGAAAATATTTGAAAGGCACAAAAGGTTAGCTAGTAAATACATCTCTGTCTACCTGACCCCTGCCACCTAGTTCTGTTCCTCAGAGACAGCCAGTGTTACTGATTTCTTCATCCTCTAGAGGTGGTCCATGCACTTCCAAAATATTTTATACATCTAGGAGCAAATTCATTGTGAGCATTCTGCACACCGCCCTTTTTACGCAAATGGTAGTGCACTGCATACGTGCTATTTGGAACCTTGCTTTTTTCACTTATTATTTCTTGGCAGTATGAAAAGAGCTTCCACGTCATGCATTATGAAGGCTGGCTATTTTAGATATCTATTGGCTGTTTCTAAAGATGCTAAAAACCAGTCTTATTTAGGCAGCAGCTTTGCATGGAGATCTGAAAGCATTTTGTGGATATTTAGGGACAAATATTTTTCTTCTCTCTGTCCTGCAACTCTAAGTCTGAGAAGAGGCCCAGTGAAGTAGAGAGCTTCCCTAAAGGTCATCCTCTTCAAGGGAGAACTGGGACACTGGAGAATGAGGAATGTGATTGGACCGTGGGCCCTTGGCCTCGCCCTCTTGACTGAAGGCGCTGGAATTGCCAGGAGAAGTTTGCTGTTTTCTCTCTGGCCTCCTGGCCTCTCTAATTCACATTGCCGGCATCTCTGTAGCATCTCAGCCTGTCTCCTGTGCCGTGCCACTGCTATTAGTCCTTGCCTTGGGCATCAGGGAGGTCACCTGCCCTTCACCACAGCACTTCCTGTTTGGGTAGCTTTATTAACTGTCCCATCCCTTCTTTTCTGTCACCTGAGTTAAAACCAGCTCTCGCACCTGCTTCTCCGTAAAGCCGCTTTCCCAAACCTATGCGTAGTTTTTGTTGCTCTCTTTGGAAGTATTTCCTAAGAGCTCCCATTCTCTTTACCACTTCCAGGGTGTGACCCAGCCTTATTAACAGACAAAGGCTCTCACTGAAGCTGACTTATGAGAGTTTT